GTACATTTCAAACCTTGTTGACACAAATGGATGGAACATGACTGTTGAGTTGTAGAGGTGGCACGATTGCACAAAAAGGCAATGAACAAGACAGAAAGTAAAGATACATCCGCTTAGCGTGGAGCAATTTACAACTGATAAACATATACAGACGAGGAAATAAATGAGACAACAGGAGCTTCTGGCGAGCCCTGAGTGGCTGAGCTTGACAGAAACTTATACACTCCTATGTACGCGGTTCATTTCTAACTAGCTAACATCGGGACGGTCGGAGTACATCGGCTGTTTAAGGTGAATAAACACCTGGCAAAATTTTGCTTCGCTGATCGTCGAAACGCTTGAAACTTTGGATACTTGAGATACCGAATATGTCATGCCGTAGAACAAAGTATTATGGACAAAATATCTACATTTCTGCATGGTGTAGTGGCTCAGTCGTGACTTGACTGGAACTTTTAAGGTGAATCTCAGAATTAAAGATGCTCAAAGTTTGCTGTCTAGAGAAGAAAACTGTCAGGAAGGTAATACAGGTGCATTGCGCTGCCAAACATGATAATCGTCTTTTAACACGTCCCCTGGTTCTTCTGTGTTTGCGTGTGAAGCCACGTACATTCGCACAAAGAGAGAGCAAAGACGGAGTTCACTGTCCTGAGTTGCCTTTTGAAAGCAAACATTTCATAAGAGCGAGGAAAAACATGAACAAATTGATTCATCACACACAAATACCTGCAAAGGAAATGCAGTTTCATTAAAGCTACAACAATTCCCTTTGAAGCTTCCAGTTCTCTCCCCATTGTGCTCTGTCTGGACCTGACAGTGTGCCTGGACAGTCTTGGCAGGCTGCTGCACGGCTATCAGACTGAGGCCGTCTCATCACTGAGTGGATTAGTGTTCATGTCTGAAGCCACTTAGTGGACTTTAGACAGGGCTGCTGAGTGGCACCTGCGCCACATTTCCCCTTAAGCCCTGCCATACCACGCCGCAGGTATGTGGTGCCGACTGGCCGAACCCCATGTCAGGAATTCTCTAGATGCCTTCAGCCGTGCCAGACACCGGGGGACGAGGTGAAGAGAAGGGTGGAAGGATGATTGTGTGAGAGGAAAGCTGATCCGCACAAAAAGAAAGGATGTATTAAAGAACATAAATCCGATTATTTGCTTTGTTTTGTTTTTTTTTGCTTGGAGTTATATGACAAGGTAGATGCCCCTCTACGCCTACAGGGTAAACAGGAAACTAGAGACAGCAGGTAGTTAGCGTAGCTTAGCATAAAACATGGAAATATGGGCAAAAGCTAGCTAAAATCTATCCATGAATCAAATCCTACAAACCAAACGATTTGTGGTTTCATTGGTTTGGACTGAACCAGGTTCACTGTTTTCCCCAGTATCAGTTTTTATGCTAACCTAAGCTAATTAGTTGCAGCTTCATAGCATGTATACAGCATATGATAGGGGAATCTTCTCATCTCATTCTCAGCAACAAAGGTAATATATCTTTAATCTTTGCCCTTATAGCTTGAGAGACAAGTCAAATCTTTTTGAGTGAAAATTTTTTAAACGTTTTTAATGAAACTGCTACAAATCCGCAAATGTTAGCACACTCCGTGGTCATTTTATTAGCCTCCAAAGTCTAATGCAATTCAAAAGAGACGCTCGATTGGTTTATATGCTCATCGGTTCATAGGTGTAGTTTTTAGTGATGTTGTACTGATGGGTTGTGCTACGAAGCAGGTTTGATATCCAGGCTTTCTCCGTGTTAGCTGGCTTGACAAAACCTGAAATCCCAATGAGAGCTAAAGGGTATCACAACAGTGGTAAGTAGCTTTCCTTGGTAACCAAGTTTTCTTCATTCATATCAGTGCACTCTCACATAAAAGGGGGCATTCGTTGTGCAATCTGACCAGTCTTCTGCACAAAATGAACCAATCACATGCCAGCTACGATACTCAAGGAGAGCAAGTTCTATTGGAGAGTTACGAAGAACATAAACATTTATTTCTGCAAAAAGCACTATTACTGAAAAAAAATGTAGGAAGGCATTCCTGGCAGAAAACTGTTAATCGCATAGGGTTGATATATTTATTTTACTACTCCGTGCACTCTCCATGGAGCTGCTTTACTTCTAACATGAGGGCTGCACATTAAAGCTCCTAAACTTTAAACTTCCTACTTTTAAATCTGATACTCAAGAAGTGCATTTAGGTCACTGTCCCTTAATGAAGGATACGTGGACATTACTTCTGCAGTGTAAAACAGATTAGGCAGCAAATCAGAACCACACATAAAATAATATCTATGTATTTTCTGGTTTAACAGCTCAGCAGCATCAGTTCCTATTGCAATGCAACACATACACCTTGCATTACTGTAACATTTACTTTGTTCAGTGGGCTTAGTAATGTACAGCTTAAAATCTCACAGAACCTCCTAAACGGCACCATAAGTTACTGTGGTGATGTAGGCAGGTTAAAAAGAGAGCCATCTTTACAACAAAGAAAACTGGATTTATGCTCAACATACCTCACTAACCCATTAATCTGGTTTCGTAGTACCTCCCTCTGGACTGCATTATACTGAGAGGTCTTTCCAATGTCTTGACCACTTCCAAACATTAAGTGGAAAGAATATTAGAAACACATTTAAATATAGTGCAGTCCCAATAATAAACAGCTGAAACAAAAGCTAGCCAGGGAGAACAGGTTGAGAGTCAGTTACCATTATTTTACCACCATTTTACCCTGGATGAAGCGTTACTACAGCCTTGGTTGGGCACCACAGGCCGAACATCACTGCATCTCTTTATTTATCTTCAGCTAATCCATGATCAAGCAGTTTTCTCATTAATAACATAGCTCCTATGTGTCTCTAAAACAAGATGGAGAGCAGATTTGCCAAAGCTCTGCAGAAATATAAATCAAATCCTGATTAGCTGGGCGACATCCTGTTACCGCTGTTTATTATTGCTGGGTAGATTAGAAAGTGCAAAGGTATGTGCCACTCCTGTGACGGGGAAACTGTCAAAATGTAGGCGTGTATGTAACATATGGAAAGTTAAGAATATACAAAGGGTAAGATTATACGAAGAGGATTGCTGAAAAGGTGTCAGTAGCCTTAAGTTGCTCCTTCTATATACTTTGGTCAGCTGAGGCAGGCCAGCTACATGTTGGCCAACGTCCCAGTCAACATCATGAGGTTGTCTTTGGCTGTTAGTGACTGGAAAAGACCAAAGTCGGTGCCGCTTCATGCAAAGTTTGAGCCGTGCCAAAGCCTATCCACCCTGCCCCTCAACCCCGCTGTGTGTGAAGTAATTCTTCATGCCAGTGAAGCCAGACAGACTCTGTGTTTTGTCACTGCATGCATACCGATATTTCTTCAACACTGCAGTCTTTTCACTTCAAAGATTAACAGGTGCATGTTCTTCCTGCACATTCATGCACAATGTCAAAATCTGCTTGCTTTTTTGTTGTTTTTTTTTTTTTTGCCACGAATTAGTTTGAAATAAACCAGGTGAGAAGGTTTTTATTGGATTAAAACCCGCGGGTTGTAACAGACAATAGGCATGATGTGTAAGTGTCACTTTCCACTCTCGAGGTCTGTCATCATGTCGGAGAAGGGAGAACTTGACACCGGCTGGAAAACTTAGGGATGCTACATCCAACTAAGTCTGCAAGTTCTGGCTGAAAGTATGGATTTAAAGAAAACAAACTTTGCATTAGGCTTAATTTTGTTTGTTTTGTTCTGTGCTAGATAATATTGGAAGTAATCCAGTGACACAGAGTCTGGAGAAGCTGCATGCAAGCCACAGTTGTGGCTGAAAGAACCAATGACGAAATCCTCCTGTACTGTAATCTTTGTATATTATATAAAGCTCATCCATGTATCACAACACAACAATATCCCAAGATACTAATATGTGGAAAAACTGATTTTCTTTGGAAAATCTTTAAAGGATATAATATTTATTACATACATGTCTTGTGTGTTATAACTCAATGTTCCCATTTTCACAGTGCTGTGCTTCATCATTTCACAATTCCAGCCACATTAACAACTTTATAGAAAACATTCACCGTCTCTCCAGCAATTTTCTTAAACACTTTAAAGGCTTGAATTATCATCACATATGCAAAACATGGAGAACACAGAGCTGTGAACCACAACATTTAGCCTCAGCCCGACTCTGAGGCTGCAAGCTTGTAGGGAAGTTTGTTCCTGCTCTTATCAATTTTTTTTTAAACAATATTTTGTAATTACACTGTATGATAATACTTATACAGACTGCTGCAATAGAGGGTCAGCTCATTGTTATTCTGTTATAATGTAAGGTCAATGGAGGCCTTTGCTGCATGCTTCCATATCAAACTTGTTTCATATATTTCTGTAATCTTTGAATCATGGCATTTGAGAGTCTAATTTCTAACTGACACACAGTTCACTGAATAGTGTTTCATAGGCAAATATTCCTTTCCAGCACTATTATTGACTTTTTTTTTTGGCTCAAACTTAGACTTTCTACATTATTTATAACAAGAGAACATAATTTGTGTTTTTCTTAGAATGATTGGACCGACATATGCAGTTTTGGAGGATTCCTCAAACAGCTCAATTTGTGACTTTACACTAATGAATACGTGGCTCCCTCTGATGGTCAAAGAGCAGAGCAACTTTAAAAGTCTTACAGTGAACTCTGGCCCACCCTGCTGGACATCATCCAGTATTGACCACAGAGCTGAAGACAACATTACATTTGATGATGACCAGATGCAGATATAGGAAGACTTGTGTGTGGATTAGGGGAGTATTTTAATAATACATGAGAGAAAATGAGGTTTAACAATGTTTAAGGTAGAGTGTGAATGTTCCTGCATGTGTCTTTATGTGCATGTGTTAAGTCAACAATGTTCCCACTTACTGAAATTAATTCACTTCATTATTATAACACACTTTGCTCGTAGGCATGTTGCACTGTGGCCAGATGAAGCACAAGGATACTGAATGGTGATGCTACTCTAAACTGTCGAAACTGTGGTTGTAGTTGCTCATCTTGTTTTCACACATTTTGGTGCAGCAACGTCAGTCAGAGGCACGAAATCACACAGCTAGAAACAAAACGAAAGAACAATTTTGCATTGCTATTCTGTTTAAAGTTTCTCTTTGCAATAAATCTTAACAATGAGACGAGGAGGTTCATAAATATAAAATCAAACCACAGTAAGAGTCATAAAGACAAAGTGTACCATGAGCATGAATGTGGAGTGAAACTTTAAGTCGGGGGGAAGTGTGGGGGGTGAAAACCACACACAGGTGCTTTATAAAGTGGTCGAGTGGGCTCCTGAAAAGTGACATTTTGAGTTTCCTCTCAGCACAATGCACGTCCTGCACAAGGTTCTGCTGCTTCTTGTTCTAACTTGTCTCAAGCAAAATGGTAAGTCAACGTAATGTTTCTTCTCATACACGCTCGTGAATTATTGCTTCACATTTTCTTCAATTGTTTTTTCAGCGTTTGGGAGTGAAATCATAAATGGTAAAAAGGCCAAGAAAAAGTCAATGCAGTACATGGCGTCCGTGCAAAACAACGAAGGTCATGTATGTGGAGGCTTCCTTGTTAGCGAGGACTTTGTGATGACTGCTGCACACTGTGATGAGAAGTGAGTGACCTAAATTCTTCAAGCAACCACTCATTCATCAAAACAGACTTTCTAAACTTTCTCAAATCATCATGTATGCAGGAATCCTACAAGCGTCATTCTGGGCACCAACAATCTCAAGATGGTTGATCGTGACACAATGAGATACAGCATAAAGAAGTGCAAACACCCAAATTATACGGGTATTAAATCTGGGAATGACATCATGCTCCTCAAGGTAAGTAAATCCATTTGACCTCAGTGGGACGTCGCACACGTTTACACTATTTACAACTCGTTCAGTAAAGTTTAACACATTAAAATGTGTTTCCAGGGAAGTTAAACGAGGAAAGACACAAGATTATCAGAATCTTCAGGGTCACAACCACTGACTATAACACTGCTGACAGTAATTAATATGAACAGATAAAATGCACTGTAAATATTTTTTTTCATTTTATTTTTTCATAATTCCAAATTACATGAAAGTATCAATACAATTACTAAACTAGAATGTGAATGTACATGTATAAATGAAATTACAATAAAACATTATTTAATAACCATAAATAATAAATAGGCATTGAATAACCATAACATTGACATTTTTTTTAAAGAAAATTAAACATTCTTTACATAGTAAGTGTGCGCATTTGCAATTTGACAATAATTTCACAAATATTTCCATTTTATTTAGGTGAAGAAATGTACTTTAAGTTTCATATATGCTATGAACCACTACTTCCTGCCTCGTGGCCCAGGCCCATATGTGTTAGTTTCAATTAAGTTTCAAGTAGCTAGTTTCAATTTCGTTGTATTTTTTTTTTGGTATAATGACACTAAAGGATTCTGATTCCATAATTTAACTATTTTTAATGTCTCCAAACAGTTTCTTATTGATCACGACACAACAAACAGGTTGTTGACTATAAAAACAATAGACATGAACAAAGTTCTTAAAGAAAAGTCTTGAAAGGATTTTTAAAATGGCAAATCTCTCCCTTATAGGCCCTCTGATGGTGATACAGAATGTTTAAAGTAAAGCACACCTTGATTTCACAAGTTATCAGCTTTATGTAGCATACCTCCTCTTGTTTTACGATAATAGCTGATAAAATCACTTTTCCTCCCACTCTCATATCTGCATATCTGTGGTTTGCATCTTTATAGCATAAGCGATGTGCAAAACACTAGAGAGTTTAATATATTTAGACATCAGGATCCATCTATACTGAGGTATCACAACAGAGGAAGACTCTTGGAAAAACAGCAAACTTATTTCTTTTCTAATTTCTTCCTATTTTATGTCTCCAGTTGTCTAGGAAAGCTCGCCTGGGCAAAAACGGAAAAATTAAGCCACTTAAAATTCCGAGTC